ACCCTGAGCGCGGTGCAGCTCTGCCAGCCCGACTGGGCAGGAGGGTCCAGGGGGTGCTGGGTGGGAGCCAATGCAGCAGCATGATCTTGCAGCGGACAAAGTAAGTCTTTTTGGAGAAACCTTGATGCTTCTTTGTAGGCTGGATCAGAGAGCAGCGAAACTACGGAAAGAACAAAAAAACAAAAAAAAGAGAAACCCTTGTCTTCCTTGGAGCACAACTGGTGGGGAGGGAGCCTGCAGCAGGATTGGCCCATGGCAGGAGGAGCTGCAGTGCAGAGCTGGAAGGTGCTGGGGTTGGGCCCTCTGGAATATTAACAGCCAAGCACGGGAGATGTGCTGGTCGCTTGGCCAGGCACCCCCCCCTGCTCTTTGAAAAGAGTTTCAGCAGTTTCCTTTACTGGAAAGCAAACAAAACCTAGATGTGATTTTTTTTTTTTTTTGGGGGGGGGGGGGGGGTGTGTTGTTTTTTGTTTGGTGGGGGGGTGGGGGGGGGGGGGATGAATAATGAAATTAATACAGCGTGGTATTTGAAAACTGTATACTGCAGCAGCTTTTAAATACTGGTTTGCCCAGGTCTGTAAAGGCATGGCTGCTCTGTGCTGCCCAGGGTACCAGAGCCTGGCCGAGAGGCTGCCTCTCTCCAGATGCAGTATTTACAGCAAACATCTGACCAGGCTTTTGCTAAATAAGTAAACAGCACTAGGAAACCAAACTGTGCGGAAGTTCAGCTGCTGCCTGCGCCAACCAGCTCGGCTCGGTCCTGCCGACACAAGATGCACAGCAGCCTCGTAATGAAAAATGCAGGATGTCGGCTGGTATTTTTAACCAGAAACCTCTGCGCTCTGATGTGGTGTAAGAACTGAAATGGAGAGAAAAGGCACTCATGGTAAATAGGGTGTTTATCGCCACCTTGAAATGCAAGGGCAGAGGTGGTGGAAGCCATTCATTTAAAAACAGCCACCACCCAAACAACTCCAAGCAGACACGTTTGAAAACTTCACTTTATTTCTTTGTTACAAAAGCAGGGTTTTGGTTGGTTTTTTTTTTTTTAACATATCTGTAAGTGTCCAGACTCGGTACACCATCTTGGTTTTGTTTTCACAGTATCTCTGCAAGACCAAGGATGATTCTTATTGCTGCACCAGGAGCCGGGGCAGGAGAGACGGTGGTGCCAAGGCTCAGGCAGCCCTCGACTTATGCCTGCTGCTGGACCCAGCCTTGCCCTCCGTTGCACTGGCTCAACAGGTCTACCCCTCCCCAACACTTAGGATCTCTGTCGACTCTCCAAGGGGCTGTCCCTCTCTCATCATGCTCATCTTGGTGTCAAGGGTAGGAAAGGAGAAGCCAACGGCCCGTGACGCTGCTCGGCATGTTGGCTGTGCTCGACAGTGTCTGCCAGCCCCTGCCCGCTGCTGGCTGGGGGCAGAGGGTGCAGGTGAGGGTCTTGGCCAACACCTGGCCCTGCTGCTTCCCGCCCTGGATCATTACGGGATTTTGACCGGAATGGTCAGGCTACACTCGCAGTCCCATGGTGATTTGGGGCCATAAAAAGCTGAGCATCATTGACAAGAGAGGTGAGGCAGAGACAAGCTCACGTACGTCAGTACCCCATGTTGGTGCCCCATCACCTTCCCAGTGTATCCTTTGTGCGTTCCTGGTTCTACAAAAAGCTGCCAGAGAAGGGGCTTTATTTACCTCTGATTATTCACCACCGTACTTGGTGCAGGATGCCCCGGGTCCCCACACACTTAAGTCCCTGTTGGGACCCTGTCAATCCCTGTTCTAACCATACAGCTGTTAACCTGCCATATCAATAGCCACGTCTATAGCATCAGTTACTTCCAGCCACCATTACCTTTTCTACTCAAGCTGTCCCCATCAGTTTTGTCATGAAGCAGCACTGGAAAAACATCACTTTTAATCAGAAAGCATGAAATCTCAAAAGAGGCAGCGTTGCTTTTCTATGCCGTGTCTGGTGATGCGAATGGAGGTGGAGGGGCACATTTCAACCTAGGTATGGGATAAAGGCATTCTTTAGGAAGGGAGAGGTCCATGCAAAGCTGACCCCAACATGAAATTTGAATTTTGTGTTTAATGCTCAGGTGGGTCTGTTCAGTGCAACAGGAGGAATCAGCCAGGAGGTTACTATCAAATTGCACGGATGCATCCAGTCCACCAGGTAGAGGGAGTAGGAGGAACCAGATTCACTTAATGCACTGGGAGACTAAGTCCAACACGAAGCTAAGTGGAAAAGGGCATAGGTGTTCCCTGAATGTGGTTTTTGGTGACTGAGAAGAAATCTTTCCTTGGAATTCCTTCGTGCAGCTAATTAAGACAACTGGGTCTGATTTCTTTGACCCATGCTGACAGCAGTGAGAACTGTAAGTACTCAGCACCTGGAGACAAAGTGAATATCAGACAAAAATACCCTTTCTGCTCCCACCCGTGGGACTGCCCAGAAGTGCATCTAAGCGGTAGCTGAGATGCGTGCAAGCGTTAATCAGCTCTTCACTCACAGCTCACAGTTTGTCTTCTTCTGCATGTATTGCCTAGGAGAAAATACAGACAAGTCCCAAAGGGCTGTGCCAGTAGAGCTACAGTTAGAATTTGAATCCATGTAAGAAAATGGAGCTTGATACAGAGAGTGACTGTGCAAGTCAAAGTCTCCCTAGCTTCATCCTTTGTAGTCCCAAAGCCTAGATTTAGGCAGCCTTTGGCTCATGGATTTGGGTTTGATACAGTCTATTCATTTGCAGGTTTCTTGTCATGCCAGACTTCCTACCTCAAAGATCCGCTCGTTGGAGAGGGCAGCTCTGTGGCTCAGCATCTCTGAAGAGCTGTGCGTGGAGGAGGGGGGACTCCCCTGGAAATGGGGGTATGGCTGCAGGGACCCAGGATCCTTGTTTGCTGGTTTGAGATTGTCATGGGGCAGGAGGGGGGACATATCTTCTGGTCATGCAGTCCCCAGGCAGGTGGTGATGTTGAACCTGTTGCCGAAGTAGATGGAGTGGCTTTGGAGAAGTGAGGAAGGAGAATTTCTTGCTGGTAGTGTCCTGTGTGGAGGATGAAGATGGCAATAGCAGCTAATTGGTGCCTCTCTGAGGGGAGAGCCTTTTGAGCTCTGTGTGTGTGGTTGAGAGACCTATTCAGACCAGCTTGGCGGGGCCAGGCTCGTATCTGGCATGCTGAGCTCTCTTCAGTCCTAGCTCTTGAGGCAAATTGTTACTAAGAGGAAGAAATGTTATGTAGGGGAAGGAGCTGCAGAGGGAAGGGGAAGTGATCTGCCTCAGGCCATGTGCTGGAGCAAGAGAGCAGATCCTCTGCTCCCTGTCCTGTGCCCCATCCTCCAGATGCCACCTCTATGGCAGAACTTCCTCTGCCTGCAAACTGTGACCCTCCTGTTCAAATGGTTCCTCCATGCTACCTTCCTCTGCAGAAGTGCATCTGGTTATCTCTGAAGCCATCTGGGCCTTATTAAAACCTACAGGTTCCACCTCCTGCTCCAAATGCACCTTACTGGAGGATCTACACCCAAGACTCAGGTGTTGCCCTCCTTGCACCTTCCATGAATTACCCTTTGCTACATAGATGTTTGTGCTGTAACCAGACAGGTACAGTATCGTGGTCTGGTCTGTACACCATCCCCAGTTGTATAGATCATGAGGTCATTTGGAAGAAAATTATCTACTAACCCCAACGGGATTTGTTATCGTGGGGAGAAGAGTTTTTCATAGCTTTTGCTTCTAGTGTTTGCTAGGAATGGGTGTCTGTTATTTTTCAGATGTGGTAGTTCCTGAATTATGGATATTGCTGGGTAGACTTGGTAGATAAGATCTGCCCTCACTTGCACCCATGCATCTCCAATGACTTCAGAAGGTTCTTTTTTATATCCTGCTCTTCTTACAGCACCATCATTTGGATTTCATGGGAAAACGGGGCAACAGAGCTTCACCCAACAACAGCCGGTGCGTGAGCCGTTGGCTCTTATGCCATGAGAAGGTGAGACAGCGGGCTAGCTGGGCAAACATCTGCATGTCCTAAAGACAAACCCGCCCCCCCCCCCCCCCCGATTAATGTTGACTCCCAGGGCCACAATTCCAGCTGTGAGATTATCCCATATGATAATGCTAACGGGAGACTGAGATCACCAAGCGTAAGCAGTGCAAACTTGGTTGCTACCCCTTCTGTGAAGCAGGGAAATTGCCTAGTAGCTCCCACTCAAGAGACATCCTACAGCAGGTTTATTTGCATTGCTTTGAAACTGAGATTATTTCCACGCTTCCTTGTTCCAGGTTTTAAAACCAGGAAGATTCTATTTTTTATCATGCTGCTTCCAATTTCATGCCCTTTTCATCCGTCAGCCTGTGACACACTGACAATCTATTCCTTGTTCCAAAACTTTCTCCCAAAAATTCTGTAGAAAGGACATTCTGCCTGGTGGTGTTTTTGTTGTTTTTCAAACATAGCTTTAAGGCAAAAGTTTGGCAATGCAAAGCAAAGTCTACATAAGGCCGCATGACTTGGATTTGCAACTCAGAACCTTACAGCTTAAAAAAAAAAATAAAATCCTTATCTTAAATAGTCAACTTTTTGCTCCAGGAACTTCTTTTGTCCTCAACCAAAAAGAAAAAGAAAAAAAAAATCTTAAAATCCCAAATAAAATGTTCTTATTGTTCTGGGCAGTCTGGACAAGCTAATGAGACTGAATTTCGAACAGTAAAGTAGGGAAGAAAAAAAAAAAGCTATACGGGTAGACATCAGTGTTAGTTTCTTCCCTTAGGAATCCAGTGATGAGACAGACCTCAGTCAAAGGTCTCCTCTTTAGCTTTAGCACAGTGAAATCCGTCCCAATGGGAGAAGGTAGAATGGTTGCATTTGTTGAATGAATAAAAAGTGCATTTTGATTTTGCTCAGATTATACGTGTGTATTCTAATACCTAAGTGATTGTTTTACTTTGTTTTTGTTTTCTCCCTTTTGGTGCCGGGACGCCAGGTTTACGTTATCGGTGTTTTGGAGGTATCACCACAAGCGGTGGTCCATCCTTTGGCCTCCACATGAGTACCTGAGCATCATTGGCATTGGGTTTGACAAGGGCACTGGGTGGTATTGGCTCATTCTTGCTAAGGACCTGGGGCTGCTCTTGAGCAGAGGGCTCCTGCAGCTTGGCACGGTGCCCCAAGGGTCTGCTGGGATTTACCTCGATGCCCAGCCTCATGCGCCATTTGATAGTCTGCAAGGTCACCATTTCGTTGGTAGCCATGTTGGTTGCAACCAGCCAGGTGGTGAAGCTTTGATCCCGGTGAATGCTTGTGAGTTTGGCCACGTTGCTCTCGCTGACGGGCACTGCCCACGTCACGCTCGGGTAAAAGTTGTCGTTCATGCTGATGTTGAACTTGGACTCCTTCTTTGTGGGACCCACGATGGTGCAAGTTTCTGTTGTGTTTCCATACCAGGGATAGTTCACTCCATCTGAGTCACTGATGGCCTGGATTTTACCATTCAGTAGATCTGGAAGCTCCCAACTTGACCTGCCATAATCAACAACAAATTACGGATAATGCATTAATTAATTACTTTAGAAACATGCAGGGCTTCAAGGAAGGAGAGGAAGTAGTTGTGAACGTATTTCCCCTTTAGCTTTTACTGGAAATTGTGCCTTTCACACCATCCCTGCCGAAAGAGCTCATCCCTGCCATTAAAATTGTGTCTGCAAATTTCCAGGACTGATCGTGAAAGTCTGTCCTGCTGTTAAACACCTCTGGGGAACCATCACCCTGCAGGGCCAGGGCTTTCCTTGCAGGGACCGGTGCTTCAAAATACATGGGTGTTTAAGTAAGGCTGCGAAGGGTAGGTGCTCAGGAGAGCTCCAGCATTGCAGATATCCTCTCGCAGCTCCTCGGCAGTTTGAGCACGGCTGAACACAAGGACTCGCTCCAGTGCCGCGTTCAGGACCTCAACTCTTGTGCCAATGAGAGCAGGGCTCAGGGCTGAGTTTCTTTCAATAGCACAAAATCTCCCAAGTCAGCAGACAAACGGGCAAGCTCAGAGCTGGGGGTTGGTGACAGAAGACCTAAGCGGTGGAAGTAAAATCAAGGACTCCACTGGATGATAAAGCTCCAATTGCCCCATTCTGTTCGTTCTTTTCAGTCCCTACCTGCAAACACTCCTTTTCTCTCTGGATAAGCCACTGTCCCTCCCCGCTGTCTGCCTGGCGCTGAAGTGTAACCCATCCTTCTCCAGCCCTAGGAAGGACCCAGTTCAAAGGCTGCACACCAGGCTCCGGGCTGGGGATGGTATTACGGTAATCAGAGAAACCGAGGTCATCCAGCTTGTAAAACTGCCTGAGCGGGTCGTCTGTGTGCTGCGCTTGCGCAACTGACAGAAAGGTCAGTCTTTCCAGCAAGAAAGTAAGTGAAAATGGTCCCTGTCACCTTGTCGTGCTGATGCACAACTTGGATTTTATTTTTTTTTTATTAACTTCCAATGTAATTTTTAGGATTAGATTTGCCAACAGAGGCAAACTACTGTAAATGCGTCAGAAAAATGGTTGGATATTTGCAGAGTAAAGGCACTAAGATGGCATAACACAGACCGTGTGCTCAGCGCATGCCAGGTATTTTAAGGACGTTCTTTTACAAACCAGGCTGATAGAGATGGTTCTAACCGACCTTCTACCTCTTGCTTACGAATCAGCCCTCCCCACCAACCAGAGACGATGTCCCCACTGTCGAAGTGGCAGAAGAGGCTGTGTGGCAGCAGCGCCAACAGCTCAGTCCCAGCAGCTCCCAGCGTGGCATTTGCACTTGACCCCGCCATGGGGCTGGGATGTCAGGCTGTGCACCAGCTCCAACACCCCCTCCCCAAGCCCTGCGGCTCCCTGCTGAGGGCTGTGCCACGGGACACGGTTTATCTTGGGAGGGAGACAGAGGGGACACGCTCAGGCTCGTCAGGGTAACTGTCCAAGCCTTTAATAAGTCCAGCGCTGCAGCTTAAAATAGCTCCTTGAGTGAAGCGGGGGCTGCAGCCAGGCGCAGGTT